GGTCGAGTGATGTTCATGTAATCCGATTACAACAATCGGATACGATGATTTTACGAGGACAGTAGTACGAACACGGTAGAGAGAAGAAATTATTTACGGATTGAGAATTGTAATTAACAGCAACGAGTAACAAATATGTGATTAATTAGAATAAAGTAGCAGTAGAAGAATTATAAAACAAGTTAGATCAGTGATCGCGGAAGACAGAGTGCACTGTATAACGTCGAAATATACAAATCAAGAAGTTAGGTCAGTGATCGCAGTATACACTATTACTAGTCTATGTATACGACGCCCGAGATTTTGTCGTTTAGAAATATCTTCAAAACTAGGTACCTGACTTAGCTTTATGAAAGAAAACGTATTGGCAAAACTACGCATTTTTACATTTATTAAAAATAAAAAGCTTGAGTAAAATAGTCTTTATTTTATGAAACTAGGTCATTTACTTACTAGGATATTTAAAAGTATGGAATTAAGTATGAATTACTAGTAGAACTATTTAACATAATGGAATAACGATCATTACTTTCATAAACATTAGGCACAACAAAATTATTATTTGCAAATTAATAATGTAGAATTGTAGAATAACGTCTACCTCTACAAAATTATTTTAATCTACAGTCAGAGCCCCGATTACGGTAACTTTTAACGTCTACAATCCAGACGCGTTTCTGATTCTGCAATACGATTGGTCAAAACAGCTGACGTACGCTGTTGAACGACCAATCGTATCGCAGAATCGAGAAGCGTGTCTGGATTGTTGACGTTAAAAATTACCGTAATCGGGGCTCTGACTAGCTATAAATTTAACAAAATATCAGTTTTATCGGAATTAATTAATTTTTGAATCGAGTCACACGATATCATTCGATGACTGCGAATGCAGTACGATGATACGATTACTTTTACGTTGCGGCAATCACTAAAATTCGCTAAAATGACACTAATGACGTTTAAAAAGTGGCACGCTCGGCTTCATACAATTTTTGACACATGCTTCATCTATCCATATCTGTGTTAGTTATTGAAAAAATTAAGTGAAATGTTAAGATTTTGTGAAAATATGAACACCAAGATGGCGAACGGTTAAATCATTGAACGAGACTGCTTCAAATTGAAACAAAACACAAGCAGACAATGAGTTTACATTATGTCCAGTAAACAAACTAAGTAAAGAGTAATACTATCATTAATGTACCCACCTTCAAGTCTCGCAGTATTAATATTTGTTTCTTTTATGATTTCTAAACAAAATGGCCGACGAAAATATGAGCACAATGCTTCAAGTTTAATCTAAACTAACCCATTTTAATCAGATTTATTGTCCATGTTATTACGTTAAACAGAAAATACACAGTTAATACAAAACATTATATGTAAGAATCTGAAGTTATTTTTTTAACACCGTTAATGTTTTTATAAAAACAAACGTAATTCTAACCTCACTTTATCGTCTTTATTTATCGTTCTGAAATTCCGCTTTAAATCATGCAGCGCAAGCCGCGATGCTATGTTCCGAATCGTACTACAAATTCGTTCGGAAATTGTGACAATGATTTTACAAATTATTCATGTTTTTATTTGAAATGATGATTATAAAATAATGAAATAGTGATAAATTAAAATATATTTTCGACATTTCATCCCGTGTGTTCGTAAAGCTAAGATGAATGCAGTAATATTGAAAAAAAAAAGGTTAAAGCCTTGTCAGACCATCAATAACTGGATACGAATTAATGTAGATTTATGTATATCACGTAGATTTAAATATGTATTTGGATTGGATTTTACTATTCAGTTCTTTTATTTGAGATACTTTATAACTTTTCATTAAAAAACACGATCCTAGTAAATTTAATTTTATTGTAATGGTAACATTCTGTTTATCACTATTAGACCGGAAGTAATGATCTTCGATCTTCGATGAAAAAAAGTACATATTTATAAAACCATCCAACATTTTTATTCCTTTATATCGATATAATTTTTGTAGTTTTAATATTATGAGTAGATAGGTAGGTACAGACGACGGCACGTCAACGTAAAAACTGTGGCGTCTTATTTAGTCGTAATAGATGCGATTTTGCAACAAAAATGTATAGCCTGATGTGCTGTTGACTATCATACCTTACTACCTAGTACCTGTTGAGGAGTTCGCGTACCAAAATGGCTACGTATTGATTTATTGTATGTACCTTTCCGTAAATACGTGATGCAAGCGCGAGTAATCGCCCAACACGTAGTCTTTCTTAGTCATTATTGTTGTCGTTTTGTGTGACCTAATGTTAAGTTAAAAGGATATTTTATGGGTTATCTTATCTTGCGTGCGTGTAAGTAGTGCTACGTTTCAAATTAACAACAGAGAATCAATATTGGTAATAAACTGATAGGTTTAACAAAAAATGGCACTAACGTTTTGTCACCTTCTTCTTCGGATTTGGAAACCCATAATAACCCAACATAATATTAATACACTAGCTAGATTTATTCATGACGTAAGAAATAAGAATCCGTAGGATACCTGGTGGTACTAATTTAGCAATCTTGGAGGTAGGTTTAGGTAATTACTAGGTAGGTACTATTATCAGGCGCTTGCCTATTTTGGTGTGAGGACGATATAATTTTTGTAGTAGGTACTTAGGTACCTACCAGGAAAAAATGCAAACACTTGTTTGTAACTACAGCACGTGCGCGCGTTTTTTTGTGGAATTTCATCTACCTACAAATAGCAAAAAGAAGTTACTTACCTATTATTAGACATCACTAGTTACCAACTTACTTAACTTAAAATCCGAAATATTTAGCCGATAATCCTAGTTCAGTAACCCACGAGGGGTTGGTTAGCAAGCTGATAAGGTGTTACGAATGGGTTCACCACAATTTGTGCCACAAAATAGTCGAACGTCGAACCCGCGTTGCCGGACCACGACCCGACACCAACCAACACCATTAGGCTATTAAGTAACATATTTTTAGGATCTCATTTGTAACATAAGATTGTTATAATTATCTAGCCAGTTTTCTCGGATTCAGTGTAAGTAGGTATGTATGTACTTACAGGCAAGAACACTAAACCACATTAAGCTTCGTTGTAAGTGCGATTTTGGAACACAAATCTATAGTTTGATCCGATGTGCCTTCTTTTTTACTCGCGTAGGTAGTTCCAGCATAATTTCTGTAAATTCTAAGCATGTATGTTTTTTTTAGTGTAACCTGTAATATTGTGTTTAAATCATTCTTTTGAGAAATAAGTAGGTACCAGCTTCTAGCAGCCAAATAAAACGATGTTCAGAGTTTAAGATTTTTATTGTAAATCATCCCTGCAAGTCACATTTTATGCCAAGTTAGTTCATTCTTGTACAATACACCTCAAAGCTTGAATTCTTCTTTAGGATTCATCTTCTCATTTTAGATTCATTCGAACGTCTGGTATATTGTGGTTAAGGAAAAATAACTTTAAATAATTAAACTAAGCAATGCAATATAGTCATTTGGGGTCATTACGTGAGTGCGAAAAACGTTACATAGTATTTTGTTGCTTCGAAAACCTTTCTGCATCAGTATAGAGTTCTGCGATGTTATGTTACATCGAAAAACTTTACACTACGAACGATTTTACTTGTATGTAACGTTTTTCGCACTCACTCACGTAGGTAACCCAGTAAAAAGGTAGTAGAAATCCCGACCTAATAAATTTTCATGGCAGTAACCGCGGTAGTATAAAACAATAATGCTGGTCATTATTAGGTTTCGTATTGAGTTTTAAGATTTAATAACTTTTAATGGTAAAAGTTCGTACTTCGAACTGTTCAACGATCACTGTTAATTTCGAACTTTTACCGGCTTATTCCACTCTTCCCCATTGACAATCCCCGTCAACGGGGATAAGTGAACTTTTTGTTCACTATTCCTCGTTAACGCCAAATTGGAACTTATAATGGGGAATAATGAACTTTTTAGTTCAATAATCCCCATTACGTTCTAAATAAAATCCTTATAATAACGACGGGGAAGTATACGAACGGGGAATAGTGAACAAAGTTCACTAATCCCCGTTGACGGGGATTGTCAACGAGGAATAGTGGAATAAGCCCCTTTCACCGTCATACACTCGGTAACTCTTAAATCTATGGTGAAAAATAGACAAGTCGAAATGTATTAGATCTATTGTCGCGTTCTCGTTGGTCTATTCCACTTTGATCACCTGGCTTTGATGACCCAGGTGATCAAAGTCCACTTTCAGCGACAATTTAGTGTCCTTTGATCACCTACGGACACGATGCCCTGGGTGATCAAAGTGGACCCCAGTTAAATTATTATTTTAGTGTCCTTTGATCACCTACATACAAATCACACCTCCTCTTATACTTAATGTACGGACAAACATTGTTCAGGTATGTAACGCTTTAAAATATTTCATGCTGTAAAAAAAATTGACTATATTAAGAAAATGTTTGTACTTACAACGATTGGACATGACGTGTCTATTCAGAGGAGGTGTGATTTGTATGTAGGTGATCAAAGGACACTAAAATAATAATTTAATTGGAGTCCACTTTGATCACCCAGGGCATCATATCCGTGGGTGATCAAAGGACACTACATTGTCGCTGGAAGTGGACTTTGATCACCTGGGTCATCAAAGCCAGGTGATCAAAGTGGAATAGACCTTCTCGTTGGCAGTCAGAAGCCCCACGCTAGGTATAGATCGTTTCATCCACGAAGACGTTCCCCACCATTCTTCCGCTAATTTGAGTGTTATCGGTCAAAACACGCTAAATCATCCATGAGTGCACACGCACACTACAATAATGACGCTCGGATTGCTCGGATCAAACTCCCCGCACCCCGCGCTTCCCTCGACCAAAAATTGGTGGAGCTCGTCTTCTCGTGGATGAAATGAACTATATCCGTACTCTAACTCCACTCGACACAGTCGATCGTTTGGAATTATAAATAAGTAAAATATTAAAAAGGATATTGTTTATCTCTGGGTTCCTCGTGCGAACGATCTCGGAATGGTGATTTTTCCTGCAACAAAAATTATATTTCGAATTTCAATTTATGTATAGGTATAGTGGCTCATGGCGTGAGATCGAATATTAAAAAATAATAGTGGGCGTGGCTTATCAAATTCGTCTCTGGCAGATTCACTATATACAAGATGACTAATAATAAAACATTGTAGTATGTATCCTAGAACATACCCTTTTATGATATTTTTCATAGTGATGATCTTCTTGGGATCCATTTTGGTGGCTCGCAACTTTTACGACAGCTGGAAATAAATTTAGTTTGATTATCGTTTTATAATTAAGCTTAAAATTACAGCAATATGATATTATTTCAATACTAGCTGTGCCCGCGACTTCGTACGCATGAAAACCCGTTTTCGCAAAATTTTTAATTTTTGCTCTGCACCTATTACTCGTAGCGTGATGGTTTATAGCTTATAGCCTTCCTCAATAAATAGGCTATCTAACACTGAAAGAATTTTTCAAATCGGACCGGTAGTTCCTGAGATTAGCGCGTTCAAGTAAACAAACAAACAAAACAAACTCTTTAGCTTTATAATATTAGTAATAGATAACTGAATTGGATTAAGCAATAGGTACAATGAATTGATGCTCACCTTTTTGTTCATCACGCCGACGTTTCTGTTCTAGGATAGCAGTCTCTTCAACTCTGTCCTGTAAATCCAAGTGAAAATGTTAATAAAATTAAACTTTTTAAACAATGTGGTAAATAAATATAAAATTACATAATGTATGTGTTTTCAATTATGAGAAAATGTTTTAGTAATTTGTTATTAGGGTTCCGTAGCCAAAATGGCAAAAACGGAACCCTTATAGTTTCGTCATGTCCGTCTGTCCGTCTGTCCGTCTGTCCGTCTGTCCGTCTGTCCGTCTGTCCGTCTGTCCGTCTGTCCGTCTGTCCGTCTGTCCGTCTGTCCGTCTGTCCGTCTGTCCGTCTGTCCGTCTGTCCGTCTGTCCGTCTGTCCGTCTGTCCGTCTGTCCGTCTGTCCGTCTGTCCGTCTGTCCGTCTGTCCGTCTGTCCGTCTGTCCGTCTGTCCGTCTGTCCGTCTGTCCGTCTGTCCGTCTGTCCGTCTGTCCGTCTGTCCGTCTGTCCGTCTGTCCGTCTGTCCGTCTGTCCGTCTGTCCGTCTGTCCGTCTGTCCGTCTGTCCGTCTGTCCGTCTGTCCGTCTGTCCGTCTGTCCGTCTGTCCGTCTGTCCGTCTGTCCGTCTGTCCGTCTGTCCGTCTGTCCGTCTGTCCGTCTGTCCGTCTGTCCGTCTGTCCGTCTGTCCGTCTGTCCGTCTGTCCGTCTGTCCGTCTGTCCGTCTGTCCGTCTGTCCGTCTGTCCGTCTGTCCGTCTGTCCGTCTGTCCGTCTGTCCGTCTGTCCGTCTGTCCGTCTGTCCGTCTGTCCGTCTGTCCGTCTGTCCGTCTGTCCGTCTGTCCGTCTGTCACTCTGTCCGTCTGTCCGTCTGTCCGTCTGTCCGTCTGTCCGTCTGTCCGTCTGTCCGTCTGTCCCTCTGTCCGTCTGTCCGTCTGTCACAGCCGATTTACTCGGAAACTATAAGTACTACAGTGATGAAATTTGATGGGAATATGTGTTGTATGAACCGCTACAAAATTATGACACTAAATAGTAAAAAAAAGAATTGGGGGTGGGGCCCCCCATACATGTAACTGAGGGATGAAAATTTTTTTTCGATGTACATACCCGTGTGGGGTATCAATGGAAAGGTCTTTTAAAATGATATAAAGTTTTCTAAAAAACATTTTTCTTAAAGTGAACGGTTTTTGAGATATCAGCTCTCAAAGTCGTAAAAAGTATGTCCCCCCCCCTCTATTTTTATAACTACGGGGTATAAAATTCTAAAAAAAATAGAGGTGATGCATGCTAATTAACTCTTTCAACGATTTTTGGTTTGATCAAAGTATCTCTTATAGTTTTTGAGATAGGTTGATTTAACTGTAATTTTGGTTAAGTTATTGTGCTTACACTGAAAACGATGGCTGAACCTTATAAGATAGATCAAAAAATATACTACAGTATTGTACACCTTTTAAAATCCGCGATGATATAAAATCTTTATAATGTAGGTACTTTTTACGAGAAATATTAGCTTATTCAAGCAATACGCCATTAATCCTTATCCAGTAATGTACCTTAAATACATTGTGCATTTGATAAAGTTTAATATTACAAATGTGATTGTTGAGTAATAATAGGTTAAACATATCCATCGAACCAATATTTTTAAAACGCGTTAATCCTATAGATTATTATTACATCGATTCAAGAAGATCGGTCGCTCGCTGCGCTGCAGCGCGTGAGTTGCGGGGCGTGGTCTCGCGCGGGAGCGGGGATAAGATAGCTAACCGCGTCGACCCGAACGGGCAGACACGTGAGGGCAGACGTCGTTGTCACTTGTGCGCGCTAAGAGAATTTCATCGTTCCCATTTACTTCTTTCGCAAGTCGAATTTGGCGTTGAGACTTTTTAATATTGAATTGTACCTATTATAAAAAATAAGTAAGTAGGTATACTGGTTTAATAGGTGCTATTAAACCGGTCACGTACTAATAAATCCCCCAATAATATAAATTCCTTTGTTTTTGGTGCAAATTTTAGTGTTTCGTAGCAGGTTTTTAAAATTTCTAAAGCTTATTGTATATCATCTAACAATGGATACTTTAGATAATACGTTTTCCTACATTCTGAATTATAATAACTATATCGAAGATGATGTGGTTCGCGCATTTCATGAAAAGTTACTTCGGTGCACATCATTTAGACCGCGTGAGCTAGAATTATTTCAACACCCTGAACTGATTGAACCTGTACCTAAAAATGAGACGCACCTTCAAGTAATTTATGACGGTGACGTGGGATTAGTGGGGCACTGGAGTTGTATTTATTACATTAATGGAATACTGCGTGTGTACGATAGTCTTGTTGGTGTTCTAGGAAAATCGCAAAAAATATATGTAAAAGCCTTGTTTCCGTATCTATCGGAGTCATGTATTCAGTTTCCAAGTGTTCAGCGACAACCGAATACTATTGATTGTGGTTTGTTTGCCATTGCTTTTGCCACCTCTTTAGCTCGGAATATTTATAAATACATATATAAAATTAATATTCATACATAAAAGTACAAGGCAAAATATCGGGAGAGTTTAGGCTCCATTCACCAGGTGTATAAATTGACATAATAAGTTTATTATATTTGCTGCTACGGAACCCTTTGTGCGCGAGCCCGACTCGCACTTGGCCGGTTTTTTTTTATCTGATTTTATTTAACATTTTGATAGATTCCAGTAGGACATAAAATCTATGTTAAACATAGAGCCCTTCCATACGACCCGATGTGGGAGGGAGGTTTTTTTTATTATAATACAAGTTTTACCAGGCCTGTTCATCTTCGCGAGTTTGCATTGAAAACAAAACACGCGCGACTACACCTCCTGAGTGAGATATCTAATCGAAAGGATAATCACGAGCGAGCATTGAAGCACGCACGTGTATTCTTCACCCATTTGCATTATAAAGACAATAAAATATGTATGTAAAAACGGTGGTGTAATTAACACTGTGCAGTGTTTTAACTGCCTGAAAATAATAGAAACACAAAATATATGCTTATTCATGTGTTTCCTCCGCCATTTTCCGCAGTTTGGCACCTCACGTCACCGCAGCACAGTAGTTTGATTTTAAAAATAGGTGGACATACGATCGAAAGTCATAATTTCATCGAAACAAAAATTGTTTTGGATAGCATTTTGAATGCTGATCAACATTTGTTATTATGCATTTTTCGTAAAAACGAGCCTTTCATGCTTAAAAAAAATATGACAAAATCAAAAATCAAAATCAAAAAATCAAAAATATTTATTCAGTTTAGACCACAAGTGGCACTTATGAACGTCAATAGAAAATAATAAAAAAAGAAAAAGGTAGCCCTTATGGGGCACTTTACATGTCTCCTTATCTTTTGGGCCCTACCAGCGCTTCGAGACAAACATATGGCAAGTGCTGAGAAGAAACGCCGGAACAAACTCAGTCACCACTTATTGCCAGGAATTATCTAACGGTAAGAATAGTCAAATTTAAGTACATCAAATATGTGCAGACTGAACTGACCACGCATCCTTGTCATCAATATAGTCTCGAACCTTGTAGTACCCTTTGGACATAAGGGTATTTTTTATATGTATCTTAAATTTGTTTATTGGCAATTCGACAAGGTTGTGTGGTATTTTGTTAAATATGGTAATACATTTCCCCAAGAATGAATTACCTATCTTATGCAACCTAAATGATGGAACAGCAAGTTTATTCTTATGTCTCGTGTTAAATGAGTGGACGTCACTTGAATCAAAAATGTATGGATCCGATTCAAATATACATGCTATGAAGGATAAATCACAGATATGGGTTAATCCTAGACAACCTAAGAAGAAGCGTATAACTGAAGACTCTGACAGTGACTCGTCGACATCTCAGCTGGTTAGACCAATGACCCCCTGCTGCTCATCAAAAGCTCTAAACCAAACAATAAACTCATTTCGTGAGGAAATGAAGATAATGTTGAGCGCTATTACTGACATCAAAGAGCAACAAGAAGGCCGATTTTCTAGAATACAACAAGATATGGCAGATATCAAAAACTCTGTTAATCAATTGCAGAAAACTAACGAAGACATAGAAAAATCATTGGACTATCTGGGTAAAAAATATGAGGAACTGGAAGAAACTAATAAGGAGTGTATAGATAAGGTAAAGAAACAAGAAAACAAAATTAAGGACATTTGCCAACGAAACATTTACCTGGAGAAATATAGTAAGGCACTAGAAGAAAGAGTCTGTACATTGGAGCAAAAAGAGCTGGACCTAAATATAGAAATCAAAAACGTGGATAAGCAAGAAGGAAAAAGTACGTTAGAGATAGTTGAAATGATAGCACGAGAACTCAATCTAAAACCAGAAAAAATTGAGAAAACGTGGAGAGCAGGAAGAGAAAAAGACTCGAAAGATTCACGCCCAATCATAGTAACACTCCAATCACGAGAAGACCGATCAGAATGGTTAAAAGCGAGAAAAAATGTTCTAACAAATCACAACGTTTTCAAAAATAACAACAACACCAGAATCTACATAAACGAACATATAACGAGACACTTACGCCAACTACTGTGGGAAACTAAAATCAAATTAAAGGAAACATATAAATACATATGGGTGCAAAATGCTCGAATACTTATAAGAAAGAACGACCAAGATAAAAAAATCCACCAAATACGCTCCGAAAGTGATATACTAAGTTATTTACCAAGTAAGCAGGAGTAATCCAGTAATCAATGCCATCTACCGTTGATTTACAACCTCAATTAACAGATTTAGAATATACAAAATACGAAAATATACAACATTGGTCTAATCAAATAAATGACGGAAAGAACGCACTACAAATAATTCATATAAATATATGCTCCATTAAGAAACACTTTAGCGAGTTTCTAGTACTCATAAATGACTGTATAGATAGTATAGACATAATATGTTTAACAGAAGTTAACATAAAACAGGAAGAGTTGTGTTTATTTACAATAGATAACTTCAATACATACTCTTTAACAAGAGAAGATAGAAGAGGAGGAGGTGTAATATTATATGTCAAAAATATCCATCACTTTACAACCTACAATACGAAAGCGACGACATGTGAACTCATTCATGGTCATCTGAGAGCCTATACCTACGAAATGGAATTATTGATTGTATATCGCCCGCCGCAAACACA